GAGGGCAGTGTCACTGGCCCTCATATGTGGGATCCGAACCGGGGCCCTCTGGCATCCCAAGCCAGTTCTTAACCATCACGCCACTCGGCCGCGGCCCTCAGAGTTCAAACTCTTGAGCGAGCTCTTAAACGACTGAGCCAGTCGGCCGGCCTGTTTCTATTTTAATAAGTAAAGTTATAATGTAGTGAAGTTTTACAATGGGTAACTGAGCATATTTTAAGTTATTGCATTTCTGTGTATCTATTTATCCTCAGTTAAGTTAGTGGTTCCCAACCCTGAGTAATCATCAAAATCATCTGGTAAATTTTAAAAAGTAAAATTAAATCTTCAGTTCCTTCCCTAGATATATTAACTAAGAATTTCCAGAGGTGGGTTGTGGGAATTTACAGAACTTTTGTTCTCCAGGAGATCCTGATAATGATATGTCAGGTTGAGTGAGACATCAGATCATTATATAGAGTTTTTTGTTTTTTTTAATTAAAAAAATGTTTAAAGAATTCATTTTTTTAAAAGTTTAAAAAGATAGAGATATAATTTTGAAAGTAGCTGGAGGTAAGTGGAGATAATAAACATTAATACTAAACCTAAGTATTTATTTTTCTAAGGAAAAATGAAAGTTGCTCCTCTATTTCTTACCAGAAAGGCTCATAAAACAGCTGACCCTATCCTTGGTTTTGATGAAAGCAGGTCAGTCCAATACAAACTTTTAAATGCCAAAATGCTTTATGGAATATATTTTGTATTTATTCATTTCCTTTGATGAGAAAGCATGTAAATTATCATTTGAAACCTTAATAAGTTCATTTTATTTATTTGTTTATTTAATAAGTTTATTTTAAAAGATGACAATATTGATAATGCTGCAACTGAATTTGAAGATTCTTGATCCTTTTCAAACATTTTGTGGCCATCTCTAGACAAATAATGTAAACAGACAAACCACAAATATCAAAAAGCTGATCATGAATTTATTCAATAAATATTTAAATACCTACTGTGTACTAGCTACTGTTTTTGGTACTTCAAGTCATTCTTTTCTATATATACTTATTTTTATTTAATTTCTTAGCACTGATAGACTTGTTTTCATGATAAGCAAAAAAGAATTTGACCAGCTAACATCTTAGCTGATAAAATCTTTTCAAATTACATTCAAGGTAGTTTATAGATAGTTAATTTTTTTTTATGTGTTATAAACTTAGCTTTCCTTTTTTCACATCATGTTTTTAAAAGTCAAGATACATCTGAAAGATCTCAGGATTGTGATGTGCAACTTAAAGCAAAGCGTGACTTTCTAATGAGTGGTCTGCCAGATTTGTTGAAACGACAAATTGCAAAGAAAGCTACTGCGTTAGACATGTACAATGCAGTGAGCGCCAGTTTCCAGAAAGTTGTTCATGTGCAACAAAAAGATGATGGTAAGCTTGTTAATTATTACTGAATATTTACTTTTAAAATGTTAGAAGCGGTCAAATATATGCTGATGGAAGGAGACTAGACTTTGGGTGATGAGCACACAATGCAGTATACAAGATGATGTATTATAATATTATACACTTGCCCCTTGTATAATCGTACTAACCAATGCCACCCCTAATAAATATAATTACTAAATAAATAAAATGTTAGGCATAATATGAAACTATGTAAGTTGGTTTAAGATGAGGCTAAGTTTTAAGTATAATTTTTATGGCAATTTTAGTGGGATTTTAAAGTCTCTTCTGAGCCTTGGACTCACTTTACTGAGGATGGGGGGTGGGGACAAAAAAGCCAGAAGCATCCTCAGGCTTAACCCCTCATTCCAGGGGACAGTAGGCATGTGTGTGGGGCCTTCAGTGAATGTTGTTTTTCATAGAGGTACTGTGTTCTAAAAGGAAGCAATTCCCTTCGGAAAGTCTATCTTATGTGTGTGAACGGATCATCTTGAAGCATTTCTCCCAGGAGCTCCAGCCCTGTCCTTGTCCAGGCTACGGTTGAACATGCAGGGGAAATCTGTTTGCCTCCTTTTCCAAAACAGCTTCTGCTGTTTAGTACCACACCTATCTTTTGGAATATTTTTTGGAATAGGTAACAAGTAGCAGTGTTTCATCGCTTAGTTCACCCTTTTCTCACATGCACCATGCACAAGAGTGAGTTGTTTGCACAAACCTCTTACACGGTGGTATTAGTTCGATCACAGCCTAATTCTATTTGGATTCTAATGCTGTAGCAACCACAATCTTCCTTTACTTACATGGTTTTTAATTGCCAGTAATGTATAAAGCCTTCTGTCTTTACTTTGTTGTTGTTTCTACCTAGAATTATTTTTATCAGCACAAAAACAGTTATATTGTCCTAAACTGACTTTGTGGTTTGGTTTAGTGCACTCCTTCTGTCATGAAATGTACTCTGTGTTCTGTTCTCTTTCTTTTCCTTCTGTGTTTCTGACCTTGACACTTTCTGAGCTTTGTTCAGCCTCTCATTTGTATGGGGAACTTGTCAGCCAGTCTTTGTAATAATATGCTGCTTTTCTCTTTTTTGCAGCTCTTCCACTGGGCATTCAGTTGATGAAGACTGTCTTGTTATTTTTTACTAGTTCAGCTTTATACAGCATTTTCTAATAGTATGTTCAACTATAGAAATTAGTTATGCTTTTCTTCCCTGATTTTGATGAACCCATTTTCACAGGAGTGCTGTAAAACTTAGCATATCTCTTTGTAGATGAACAGATGAAGCAAGTGCAGAAAGAACCTCTCTCTTAGAACCTTAAGAGTTAGTGAATGAACACTTACTATTTCTGGCATTCTGCTGAGCACTTCATATGCAAATCTAGTTTGAGCACCATAACAACTCTAGGAGGTTGAATATTATAATTGTCACCCCCACTTTATAGATGAAGAAACTAAGTAGACTCACGCTCACCTAGCTAGTAAGTGGCAGAGTCTGGATTTGAATCCAGGTCCGACTTCAAAGTTTAAACTTTAAACCAGGATGCTGACTGACCCTGAAATGTTTGCCCTGAGTAACCAAGTTGAGTTAAAAAGAAAAGAAAATTTGCTAATATTTGCTTATTTTTAACAATTGGGAGGGAAGACTAGGTAATGTTTATTAATTGCATTGTTGTAGGTGAGGATTTTGTTCCCTGTGTACTCATCTGAGTTTTGGTACTTTTCCGTTAACTATGTAGTTGTTGTTAGGTCTTTTTATGTTTATATACTTGCCATTTGGTAAATTGATAGTATGTGAATGAAGATAATGAAAACAATTCTTCTGTTTTTCTTTAGGATGCCATTTGTGGCATTTGAAACCACCCACATGTTCTCTCTTAAGTAAACTTAAAGAACTGAGTACTAAAGTAATAGATCTCTCAAAATGTGTTATTGCTCTTGGTGAATTTTCAACATTGAATTCAAATTTGAAAAGTAATAATTCTGCTGTTGTGGTAAGTATTAGAGTGCTCATCTATTGTAGGGTGTTTCCTTCAAATCTTTCAGAGGAAAAAAAATTGCCTATCTACTATGGTAGCCTAAAGTTCATTTTTTTCCTAGAGTCTAATTTAAAAAAATAAATCCCAGTTGAAATACAATTTTCTTTTAAATAATCCTAGAGCTATAAAAATGTTTTAAGAGTTAATGATAGCCAGTTTCAAAAGAAGATTACCTTTATATACTTTATAAGTCAGCATTATAACCTAATAAATATGTAAACTACAGTTAGGTGAAACAGAATAGTAGAAGTATGCACTAAGTCCTTTCAAAAGCTATTGCCGTCAGAGTTGTGTTTGGTGACATAGAAATCAAGGTTACATTTAGTGACTAATGCTAATCCTACCCTGATATTGACTTATTATAGACAGAAAGTAGTTGGCAGTGTTGTGGGTCTGTTATTGAGCATTTTATTCTTTACTTCAGTTTAGGGGGAGAAGGAAAGATTTTACAGAAGAAGTAAGAAATCTTTTGCTAGAGGAAATTAGATGGTCAAATCCTGAATTTTCTTGGAGGAAATATTTTCCTTTGCTTCTAAAAAAACAAACAGAGCACCAGGTACCCTCTGAATGTCGTCGTAAACCAGGTTAGTGGTAATTATTATCATTAACATTTCACTTTTGAAGACATGAAGACTTAGTCACTGACCCTTGGAAGTGGTTGCCTCGAAGAGAGATTGCTAATGGTTTTGTTCAACTGAAGTAAAGCATCTTGTGCAATGTAGTGTTATCCCCTGCCAGCTTCCAGAGATGCCAACCCAAAGACAGCTTCAATTATGTTAAAATATTAATAATTCACTTAAGGAAAGCCTTAGATGAGGTAATTTGAAATTACATAGCTCATACAAAGGCAATCTTTTTTTTTTTTTAAGATTTTTATTGGGGAATTGGGGGAATGGGAACAGACAAGTTGCTGTCATTTTGTTCTTCAGTCTAGTTGTGGAGGACGTTGCTTCACTGGCCCAAGTTGGCACCATCATTGCGCTCTTCCCGGGTGAGGCAGATCAGTCGCGGGCTTCTGGACGGCCGCTCACTGTGGCTGCTGGCCGCTCACACTGGCTGCCGGCGACTCATGACAGCCCAGCTCCAGGTTGAACTGTTGTTCAGCATCTCAGCTGTGGAGGGCAGTGTCACTGGCCCTCATATGTGGGATCCGAACCGGGGCCCTCTGGTGCCCAAGCCAGCTCTTAACCATCGCGCCACTCGGCCGGCCCAAAGGCAATCTTAATAACAAAATATTCAGCCTGCTTTCAGTATGAAAATCATTTGATTCTTGTGTTTCATTTTATAGTAACAAGACTATTGGATATTTTGAAGTGATATGAAGATTATTGGATATTAAAATTTTTTTGTTGATTAGTAAGCACATGCATTTCTCTTGTTCCCCAAATAGAAAGTGCACAGCTAGAGCCTGATGTCAAGCAAAAAGAAACCAAAAGGAAACGAGTGGAAACCAAAAATCATAAGTCAAAAAGAAAGAAACTAAATGAGTTTTCAGAAAGTCCAAAAAAGATAAGTGGCCAACCAAAAGAACTTGACAAAAGAGACAATTCCACTGGGATAAAACTAGAGTCTTCCAAAGGTCTATATTCTAAAACATCCAGGAAGAAACAGACCGCTTTAAGTGTAACATGTAAAGAGGAAACAGAAGCAGTGGAAGATTCTGGTATTCTGATAATAGACGATAACAAAGAATCTACATCAGAAATATCTTCTGTTTCTGGTAAACTCAATTTTCTCCCTCTGGTTCTAGAACTTTTTTGTTTTTGTAACCTCTCACTTCCCCTCTCTTTTAATATATGCTCATTGCAACATTCAGACATATGTGTATGAAATAGAATGGAAGCCTTACTGATTAGTCTTACAGGTCACATTTAACAGATTGGTGTTTGGTCTTTGATTTTTCTGTGCTTCCATAAACACATATACTTTTTAAAAAACATGGGATAACACTATACATATTATTTTACACCTGTTTCTCATATCTTTGACATGTTCCCACTCAGGTTATCTAGCTTTTCCAAAGTATCCTATTGAATTAATTATTCTGTTTTATAGTGCTAGAGTATGTTTTGATACTCATACAGCAAGTATCCCATCATTTAAAAAAAAATTATTGTGCACCTGCTCTACTAAAAAAAACTACCGCCGTTGTTCCCATTGGAGTTTCGATTTTGCATTAGTTTATTGATTAATTTGGAGCAAGTTGACGTCTTTTTAACATTCATTATTCTCAATTGAGAGTATAAACACATCTCTCCATCTACCCAGAATGACTTAGTGGGACATTTTAACATTTCTTTCCAGTGGTCAAAACAGGCTCCACTAAAATTATGCTGTCTTTGTTCTTTAGATATTTTTTATGGTACAAATTATTTTTCATATTTCATGTTTCTTGAGTGGTTATTAAAAAGTTAAATGTGTACTTTTAAACCTTACCAACATGAGACTATGATGGTTAGTTTTTAAGGGGAAATTTGATGTGAAGAATTTTAAATGTAATACTATGTTTTGAAATTGACTTTTTGTAAATATATATATTTGTACATACAGTTATTACATGAAACAATGTCTAAGAAAATACGCTTATGTCAAGGAACAAATACTTTAACGTATATTTTTTGCTTTAGATTCTGGAACTGAAGACATGCTTTGGACAGAAAAGTATCAACCTCAGAACTCCAGTGAACTTGTAGGCAATGAGCTAGCTATAAAAAAATTATATAGGTTGGTAAAATTTGTAAAGAAAATGAGAAACAGTTTATGACTCTAGTTTTTTATTTATTTTATTTTATTATAAAATCTATACATATAATTATAAAGTAATACATTACCTGGTAAAATCTTTAAAAAATTACAAAAAAGAATTTTAAGTGAAAAGTAAGTATCCTTGATTCACCATGCTGTCTCCCTAGGGTACTGGTTTGCAAACTTTTTGGCCATAGGTCTGGGATTGGCAGGTAAAATACAGGGCTCCCAGTTGAATTGGAATTTCAGATAAGCAGTGAATAATTTTTTAATGTGAGTATATCCTATGCAACATCCATGTTTATGTGAAATTTGAATTTGGCTGGGTGTCCTGTATTTTTAGTTCCTAGTTCTGGCACTCCTACTCAGGACTCCTTTACACTCTTAAAAATTATAATTTAGACCCCCAAGTACTTTTATTTATATGGGTTATACCCATGGACATTTGTGTATTAGGAGTTGAAAGAGACATTTAAAACCTAAGATGTCAATCACACGTTCATTGGCTGTTAGGTGATGTCATCATACGCCCTGCAGCGTCTGAACAGTATCCCAGTTAGAGAATGAGAGTGGAAAAGGCATACAACTGGCTTGGCATTGTTGGGAAACAGTTTTGACCCTGAGGACCCCATGAAAGGGTCCTGGGACCTCCCTGAACCACATTTGAGACATGCTCATGATGAAAAGCGATCCCCCTCTATTAATGTCTAGTCAGCACAGGCCTCACCAGGAAAAGGAGGCTCTCCTAAGCTTCACTTGGTAGAGTGGTGGTGGCATACCTGTCTTCACCATCCTGGGTTTTTTGGACTCGATATCCTTGGAGAGATCTTGATAAATGTGTTGGGGAGTGCAGGGAAAGTAAGTATTCTTCTCTTTTCCCGAGAGGTAAATCTACTATCAAAGGTTTCTTGTAAAAAATTATGCATTTATTAGTTCCTTCCTAGCAAATGGGATCATATTACTTACTAATTCAGGTCCATAATCCTTTGTCTACAATTCCCACATCCAAAAAGTTCTGAAAACTGAAAGTTTATTAACTCTGTTACATAAAGTTTACTGTGGTTTTTATTGATCCCATTTTGTACTTCATACATTTTTTTTTTTAAAGATTTTATTGGAGAACTGGGGGAGGGGAACAGCATTGGGGAACCGGGAAAGGGGAACAAACAAGTTGTTGTCCTTTTGTTCTTCAGTCTAATTGTGGAGGACGTCGCTTCCCTGGCCCATGTTGGTATTATCATTGCGCTGTTCCCGGGTGAGGCAGATCAGTTGCAGGCCACTGGACGGCCACTCAGCTCACGGTGACTCTTGGCAGCTCACGCTGGCTGCCAGCCGCTCATGCCGGCTGCCGGCCACTCACGGTAGCTTTACCGCAGCCCATTGCAGCAGGGGCTGCAGCCTACGCCATCACTGGCAATTCACGGCAGCCCAGCTCTAGGTCAAGCTGTTGTTCACCATCTTAGCTGTAGAGGGCACAGCGTCACTGGCTCTCATGTGGGATCCGAACTGGGGCCCTGCTGCTCAGAGCTGGTGTCCCAAGCCAATTTTCTTTTTTTATAAACTTTTAAGGTTTTTTTTGTTTTTTTTTTAAAGATTTTTATTGGGTGATTGGGGGAAGGGGAACGGACAAGTTGCTGTCCTTTGTTCTTCAGTCTAGTTGTGGAGGACGTTACTTCACTGGCTCAAGTTGGCACCATCATTGCGCTCTTCCCGGGCGAGGCAGATCGGTTGTTGGCTTCTGGATGGCCGCTCACAGCGGCTGCTGGCCGCTCACGCTGGCTGCTTGCTGCGCACAGTAGCCCATGGCAACCCACTGCAGCAGGGGCTGCAGCCTACGCCTTTGCCAGCGACTCACGGCAGCCCAGCTCCGGGTTGAGCTGTTGTTCAGCATCTTAGCTGTAGAGGGCAGTGTCACTGGCCCTCATATGTGGGATCCGAACCGGGGCCCTCTGGCGTCCCAAGCCAGCTCTTAACCAACGCGCCACTCGGCTGGCCCACTTCATACATTTTTTAAAAATTATTTATTATTTATTTGTTTTTTAGGCAGCTCAACAGCAGCTCAGCTCAAACCGCTGTTGCTCAGAGCTCACATTCTTGTGCAAGCTCTTAACCAACTGAGCCACTTGGCTGGCCCCACTTCATACACTTAAAAAAAAAAAAGAAATATTAAATGATTATGGATGTACTTCCACAGACCCTTTTAGGGGCATTATCTAACATGTGGTATATGTACCAAATTATCTTTCTAATATCTGAAAAACTCTGAATTCTAAAGCTCACCTGGCCCAAAGGATTTCTTATAAGGAATTGCATCCCATAATAAGAATTAACACCTTGAGCTTGACACTGTTCTAAGTATTTGCATTGTTCTTAGTTCATTTAATCATTAGAACAATATGAGGGTAAATATGCTGTCCTTACCTCAGATGAGGAATGAGGCCTAGAGAGATTGAGAGGTTGAGTATTTGTCTAAGGTCACACAGCTAGGAAGTAGTGGAGCTGGAATTTAAATCAGATAGTCAGTCTAGCTCCAGACTAGAACTTAATCTTTCTTATACTTAGCATTGTATATTAGACATCTTTCATGTTATCACACAACCCACCTTAGGTCTTTTTAGTTGCTGTGTACTGGTTTCTGATATGAGTACTGTAATGTATCTTTTCCCCTACTGATGTACTTTTAGGGTTTTCCTTTTAGAGGCTAATATAAACGATGTTGTAGTGAATATGGTTGCATATATACTCTTGTGTATTTAGGCAAAAGTTACTTCATTTTAAAATATTCACACTCATATAAAAATATTTTACTATTAGTTGATTCATAAGTGCTATGGAGTATTTAAAAACTAACAATATGCCATAACATCCCCATCCCCCAAATTATCTCAAGATATAGCCTAAAAGATATCTATATTCTGTGAATTACTTTGATTAACATACATTTTCTTATGACAGTTGGTTGAAAGACTGGAAAAAGAGAGCTGAGTTGGAAGAAAGACAAAATTTGAAGGGAAAAAGAGATGAGAAACAGGAAGGTATTTTGAGTCATTTTTTTACATTTCTCTGAAATTTTTTAGAGTTAGATTAGCTAAAAACTTTTATTAAATTTCTTAAGGTATTTTAGATTTGGTTTTCTAGTTTTTGTCCATTAAATTTCCGGCATTTATTGGTAAGAAGTTTGTGGGATTTGATCATTGGGTTTGGTGAGGTAGACTTGCTGTCTAAGCAATTATCATTTTATGTGCACTTGAATAATTTTTTCAGATCTGTCGGATAGAATAGACTTTAAAGGCAGTTCAGATGAAGAGGAGACTCGCCTTTGCAATACTGTTCTTATAACAGGGCCTACGGGAGTGGGGAAAACCGCTGCTGTGTATGCTTGTGCTCAGGAGCTTGGATTTAAGGTTCGTAACAGCTACAATGGAGCAGTATGAATGTAGTAATTCCCCTTGAATTAAAAGAAAACATAAACCAATATGCCTTTTTTCATATATTCTTTCAGATATTTGAAGTGAATGCCTCTTCTCAGCGGAGTGGAAGGCAAATTTTGTCCCAACTGAAGGAAGCTACTCAGTCCCATCAAGTAGACAAGCAAGGTGTAAACTCACAAAAGCCTTGTTTTTTTAATAGCTACAACATAGGCAAGTCACCAAGTAAGTTAATTATTTTCTTTGGTCATACCTTCTGAAAAAATCAAATCTAAGAAAGAAAATTTTAAATTGGCATTTTGATACTCATTTTTAATCTTTTTCTACATATACACATGCCTTTAAATTTTTTCCTGGACTGTTTTCAAAACACATCTCTAGAACATCATATAATTTTACCTATATGTACTTTAATAGGTATCTCTAACTGATAAGGACTTTTTAAAAAACATAACCACAATTTCGTAATCAGACCTAATAAAATTAACAGTATACCGTAATTTGATCTAATACACAGTTTAATTTCAGTTTTCTGTTGTTTCAAATGGTTTGTTCAAATCAGAATCCAAACAAGGCCCACATCTTACATTTGATTAATGTCTCCTAAGTTTTTTTTAATCTAACAATTTCCTCACCTGTTCTTTTCATATCATTTAGTTGAAATACATGGGTCATTTGTCATATAATTTCTCACCTTCTGGATTTGGCTGATTGTATCTTCATGGTATTAGTTAACACATTCCTCTTCCTTATGTGTCTTGTAAAATGGCGGTTCGATCTGTGGCCTGATCATTATAGACTCACGTTCCGTTTTGGGGCTAGCATACATATGTAAGCATGGCTGTGTACTTCCTGTAGCATCATATCAGGAGATACATAACGACTGGTCATCACACTTTTAGTGATATTAAAATTGATTTATGAGTTTAATTGTTTTCACTCGAATCCATCCATTGTCAAGTTCTTTCATCATTCTCTTATTTAATGGTATTTTGGAGCCATGAATGATCTTTGTTTAGTAGACTCATTTCATTAGAGGTTAAAAAATGGTGATTTTGTAATTCACTCAACCTTTCTTAATTTACTAGAATTCTAAGAAGTACTCTTTCTCTTCAACTATTTGGATACTTTGAAATACAGTTTGTACAGGAAAAGCATGAGAAATGCTTCATTCTTTCCTTTAACTTACCAGTTCTTAGAGTAATGCTGCCCTAGTAGTCTCTTTGAAGTTAACCAGTGAGTTTTTGTATAGTTTTTATTTTTCTAGTATTATTATGAACTCATGGATTTGTATTTATTTAATGTGTATCAATCCTTTGTGTTCCTTATACTTTGTTGCTTTTAAGATTTTTCTCTTTATCACTAGTTTTAAGCACTTATGATTATAATATACATTGGTGTAGTTTTCTTCATATTTCATGTGCTTGGGGGTTTGTTGGGTATTTAGTATGTATGGGCTTATAGTTAAGAAATTTGGGGAAATTCTAACCATTGTTTTTTTTCTTTTTTATTAAGATATATTTGGCATATAACATTGTGTAAATTTAAGGTGTATAACATGTTAATTCGATACTTTTATATTTTGTAATGTTTGCCATTGTATCGATCATTAGCACCCCTATCATATTACATAATTATTTCCTTTTAGTGATTGGATTAATCAATCATAGTCACTTAGGAAGTCTGATGACTTTAACACAGTATCATTGTCTATGTTCACTATACTAGCATTAAATCTCTAGGATTTATTTATTACTCATCTCAAATTTGTACCCTTAAACATCTGTCCTATCCCCCCCCCACCACCACCACTGTCCCCTGGTAACCACCATTTTACTCTCTGCTTTTATGAGTTTGGCTTTTTAAGATTCCACATATAAGTGATATCGTACAGTACTTGTCTTTCTCTGTGTAACTTATCTCACTTAGCCTAATGTGCTCAAGGTCCATCCACATTGTCATAAATGGCAGGATGTACTACTTTCTCATGGCTGAATAGTATTCCATTGGAGATATACTGGGGATGCCAAAAAAATGTATAGAAGTAGACACTTTGGTCCACGTTGCTCAAGCAGTAGTTAGTTCGCCATATTCAGAAGTGTGTGCACGCTGATGGTGACCGCTTTGAGCACCTCTTGTAATTGCAGAAGTCACACGTGACTTGTGTTCATGTTTTGTTATTGGTATATATTATTACAATTTTAATAGTTTTTTTCCTTTCTTAAAATGTGTATACATTTTTTTGGCACCCTCTGTATATATCTCCTTTATCCATTTATCTATTATGGGCAATTAGGTTGTTTCCATATCTTGGCTATTGTGAATAATGCTGCAGTAAATATGAGAATGCATTAATCTCTTCGATATCCTGTTTTTGTTTCCTTTGGATATACACCCAACAGTGGAATTGCTGGATCTTATCGTAGATTGATTTTTAATTTTTTGAGAAACCTTCATATTGTTTTCCATAGTGGCTGAACTAACAGTGTACAAACTTTCCCTTTTCCCACATCCTCGCCAACAGTTACCTTTTCAAATATTTTTTTATGTCCCCCTCTCCTCCTTTGGCAATTCCAGTTATATATATTTTAGATCACTTGAAGTTTTCTCACAACTCACTTGTTATTTGTTCAGTTTTTCAGTCTTTTGTCTCTCAGTGTTTCATTTTGGATAGTTTCTATTATTATTTACTCAAGTTCACAAACCTTATCTTTGCAGTATATAGTATGCTGCTAGTGCCATCCAGTGTATTTTTCATTTCATACATTGTAGATTTCGTTTCTAGAATCTTGATTTAGGTCCTTTTTATATCTTCTGTATTACTATGCCCAATCTTTCCTACCAGCTTTAGAACATATGAAATACAGTTATAACTTTTATTGTTTTGATCTAATTCTATCATCTGTGGCATTTCTGAGTTGGTTTCAAATTGATTTATTTCCCCAACCCCGACCCCCACCGCCACGCCATTATGGATTGTATTTTCCTGCTTTTTTGTATGCCTGATCATTTTAATTGGATGTCAGACTTTGTGTAGTTTATCTTGTTGGATGCTGGATATTTCTGCATTCCTGTAACTATTCTTGAATTTTATTCTGGGATGCAGTTAAACTACATAGAAACAGTTTGATTTTTTCAGGTCTTTTATGTTATATTAGGTGAGAACACAGGAGCATTCAGCCTAGAGCTAATTTAACCCCATTACTTAGGCAAAATCCTTCTGAGTACTCTATTCAGTGCCCCATTAATTAAGAAGTTTGCTCTTCTGTCTAGTGGGAAGAGTAACTATTCACAGCTCTCTGTGAGCCTCGGGTCATTTCCTCCAGCTCTCTGTGTCACTCTCTTCTTTTTGGTATTCTGCCATATGAACTCTGTCTCCCTTGGCCTCCTAGGACTCCAAGTTCAGCCTCCGCAACTCAGGAAAACCGCTCCTCACTGTGGCCTGGAAATTCTCTCAAGGCAGTAAGCTAGGCAATCTCTAGGGTTCACCTTGTTTGTTTCTTATTTCTCAGGTATCACTATCCTTTGCTGCATGATATTCAAAGTCTTGAAAAGCATTGTTTCACATATTATGTTCAGTTTTTTGTTATTTCAGATGGGTGGGGAAATCCAATCTGTATGTTGGCCAGGAACAGAAACCATCTGTTTTTCTTTTCATGCTCATGTTGTCGCATGTATGGCTAGCAGGAAACCTTTTTAATTGGCTTGTGTCCTTTTGACAACCCCAGTAAGGTTAGATATTTTCCTTGCTTTCGGGCTTGTTAAGATGTCCCAGACTTAGAATTAGCTATTTCTCCAAGGAACTGATTCTTTTGGTGGAAAATATTTTTAAGATAATATATTCATACAATTTAACCAAGTTCTTATGAATATCTTAAAGTGGCAATTGGCATGTATTTTCTAAAACCAATCTTTGGACTGATGCCAGTCCATGATCAAGCAATCCTTGGTTCATGACAAAAGTAGAAAAATAAGGACAAACTCGTGAGTTTTTTAATAAATTGAAATCTGTTCAATATAAAGAAATATTTTTTATTTTATTTTATTTTTTAGAGATTTTATTGGGGACTTGGGGGAGGGGAACAGCGTTGGGGAATCAGGGAAGG